GGCTGGTGTCCAGCCCCCCCCAGCGCTGGAGTAATAGCTCCGCTGCGCCTGGCCTGGGAGCGGGGTGGGCAGCTATATAGCGTGGGTGGGCTAAATTGCACAACGAGGCTGCACACTGCCGATGCACAGTGGCGTGGGCAGACACTCACTGCTGCCAGCCGTACAATGCCCATGAGCGTGACAGCAAAACTCGCTGAGCGCTATGTGGAATCAGGTGTCAATCCAAAATGAGCACTTCTGCAGTTTGGCTTTTCTGCAAATCCTCTCGCACTTTCCTGCCCCGGCAGAGCTGGGATTAGGACTAGAAACGTTGGGGTGCGATCTGATATTTTTGGCTCTTTTTGTAGCTGGATGGCCATTTTTATGGTGGGAGAAGTCCTTTCCATGGGTAGCCAGTCTAAATTTATTGCACGATTATGTGCTATGTGTGTGGGGGGGATAGATAGATAGATAGATAGATAGATAGATAGATAGATAGATAGATAGATAGATAGATAGATAGATAGATAGATAGATAGATAGATAGATAGATAGATAGATAGATAGATAGATAGATAGATAGATAGATAGATAGAGGGTGACGCCCTCCCTTGTTCGGCTCCCCGAAGCGCTTCGGAGCCGCCTAGGAGATCCGGCCATAGGGTATAATGGGGAAACAATAAAATATCTACAACTTTGTTGTTTTGTGTCCAATTTGCATGAACTTTTCAGGGATGGTAGACTCTGCAGAGAGCATGAAGCCTGCCAAATGTCAAGAAGATGGGTGCAGGGGTTTGGGGGGAACTGCACCGCAAGCTGCAGACAAGCAAAACTGGTGCCATGGGTGACCCTGTGCGTGTCCAGGCGCAGGGGGTGACAGCCGCAGGGATGGTGGCCCCTGCTGCAGCCACGAGGCCTGCCAGCTGTTGAGATCAGTGCAGGGGGGTTCTTGGGCCCTGCAACCCTAGCTGTTGACGGACAAAACTGGTGCCAGGGGTGCTTGTGGGACTGATTTGTCTGCTTGGGGCGGGGAGGGGAGACACTGCTGCAGGCCTGGCTGTAAGATACTGTTCCCATTTACCAATCAATCATGATTCACTCAGGGACCAGCTCAATACACAGGACCTAGCTAATGTAGCCAGTTAATTGCCATCAATTAGCACCTACGAAACCAGGCTAAGGAGAGGAAAGAATCAATACAGGCAAGCGACTGCCCCAAGACAGACACGTTCAGCCCCACAAGCACCCATGGCACGAGTTCTGCCTGTCAGCAGCTAGGGTTGCAGGGCCCCAGCACCCCCCTGCACCCATCTCCCCCACAGCTGGCAGGCGCCGTGGTCACAGCAGGGGCCACCATCCCTGCGGCTGTCACCCCGCTGCGCCTTAACACACGCAGGGTCACCCATGGCACGAGTTTTGCTTGTCTGCAGCTTGCGGTGCAGTTCCCCCCAAAGCCCTGCACTGATCTTCTTGAAACTTGGCAGGCTTCGTGGCCTCGGTAGGAGCTACCAGCTCCGCAGTCTTGACCCCCCTGTGGTGTAACACGTAGATGTGACGGGAGTTTTGCTTTCAAGAATGAGAGGTACAGTTCCCCCAAAACCCCTGCACCGAACTTCTTGAAACTTGGCAGGCTCTGCAGCCTCACCAGGGGCCACCGCCCCTGCAGTTTCCCCCCACCCTGCATTGTAAGACACAGATATGACATGAGTTTGGCTTTCAAGAATTTGGGGTACAGTTCCCCCAAACCCCTGCACCAACCTGCTTGAAACATGGAAGGTTTCATGCCCTCAGCAGAGGCTACCATCCCTGCAAGTTTCATCCAAATCAGACAAAAAACAACAAAGTTATAGATATTTCATTGATTCCCCATTATACCCTATGGCCGGATCCCCGAGGTGGCTCCAAAGCTTCGGAGCCGCTTCAGCCAGATCGAGGTGGAAACCCGGTCTGGAGCTCCGGAGTGGATTGCAGCCATCCGAAGCGGACGGATCCGAAGCTGGATTGGATCGCTGCCAACTCACACAGGCCTACACAGATAGAGTGTATGGGGATAGATGGGTGGATGTGAAATCAAATTTCTGCCCACACAAGTGGCCGCATTTACTGCGCAGCACAGGTGTGCACATGAAGACACGCGCCCGTACTGCACAGTAATTTTTGGTTACTGCGCAGCAATTTCAGTGCATGTGTACACCATCAGTGGAGACACGTAGGGGGTGCATGGGGGTGCACTCGCCACCCTGGGTCAGCAAGTTTGGCTGCAGGGGGATTGCCCCCAGTCACTGACTGGTTGCTGGGGGGGGGGCACATGCCCCCCCTTACTAAGGTGGCACCAGTCGCCCATGTACACTGTGATGTCACTATACTAAACACATGACTTTGTTTGTCACTTTATCACTTATGCAAGTGCTGCGAGTGTGCACGTGTAGACGCACCCACCCAGGGAGACGGTACTCCTTAACACAAATGGTTGGGAAAGGGGTGGAGCATAACGGCTGTCCTCCTGTCTCCCCAGGGCAGCATTTTATTGAGCGGTTTCGCTCCATCCTGATCCAGAGGACCCGGGAGGTGAATAGCGTCCTGGATGATCTCCGCACAGACATCCTGAGCCAGGAGCAGTACGATGCCATCCGCAGCAAGGGCACCAAGCAGGAGCAGATGCGCGAGTTGTACGACCTGCTGCCGGGCTGGGATCAGGAGAGAAAGGACCGGGTCTACAAGACGCTGAAGAAACATAACAAGTCTCTCATTCGGGAGCTGCGCGGGAAATAACAGAGGGGCTTGTTACAACTGATGCTGCAACCTGCACAAATGTCCATTGGATTAGTGCTAGCATGGAGTTTGGAGCACTGGCTTCCAGTGGGGTGGGGTGGGGATGTAACTGGGAAACCAAAAGTTCACAGGAAGTGGAAGAGAAATGGTGGGGAGGGGAAGGAAGGCTGAGATGCTGTAAGGCAGCCCTTGTGAGGGGTAAAATTAAAGATAGAGGAAAGAATTAATCAATCATTAAAGGGAAAGCAAATGAAAGAAAGTCTCATTTTGAAGAATTAGGATTGCCAAGTAAGGGGTTGGGAGGGGGTGGTCATGTTTGCAAGGGATGTAGGGTGTAGTAAGGAAAGGCACTTCTGGGGAGCTATTGCCTCTGCCTTGGGAAGGAAAACTCAGCAGATGCCAAGTCTGTTGGTTGTCATGACCCAAAGGTATGATTCTGTGTGTGCTTCGGCACCAGAATTATCCCCGCCAGCTTGCAGCTTCGTTGCACAGTGGAGTTTTCTGCTGCAGAGGAGAACCCCGGTGCAAGGAAGAGTTTCCCGCCTATTTGTGATTTCCTTTGCAGAGTGCATTGCTCAAGTTGCAAGAGAGATGCACGGTGCAAAGGATTTCCCGCCACCCGCATGCAAATTTGTGTCCCACTATTGGCTAGTGCTAAATTATTCCCACGTGGCGGCTAGCGATTGGCCTGTTAGCCGTATAAGAGTCTTGAGCGGTTTCCACCCAAGCCGAAGAGGACTCCACATCCATCTCGTGGGGACTCTGGGTACACGGCAGGGAAGTCCCCTGTGTGAGATTCAGAGGAGTTTGGCGACCTGATCCATCGCCCACCTCTTCCCGTCTTTGAGCGATAAAAATTATAAGACGTATCTACGAGTCCGATTTTGGTGGCGCGCTCACCCAGAGCATCCGGAGCTGTTTCCGTGGAGCCTAGCAAACTCCACGTGACCGTTCGTGTTGTCTTCGTCTGTAACCACAACTCAGGCAAGTTTTCCAGCCTACACCACGACCATCACTGGTGTAAGTAAACAATCTTTAAATCTACCGCTAAGCGTCTGTGCCTAATTCCAGCTCATCGCGTCCCCCCTTCTCCGGCCCCGCGTGCCCGGGCTGCTGGCAACAGCCCGCGTGCAGCACGAAAAAGGGCCCGGCTCGCGCCTGGCCCGCACATTGGTCACCTCCATTTCAGGTAGGCCTTTAGGTAGTTTTGTTCTCCTTGGGCCCTGCCACACATTCCCATGAGACCTGGATACAAACCAGCTATAAAGTTGTTCCACATTTCCAGGCACTTGTTTTGTGGCTCTTTGGCTCTTTTTGTAGCTGGACAGCCATTTTTATGGCATGAGAATGACTTTCCATGCACAGCCGGTCCAAGTTTATTGCACGATTAGGTGGCGTGTGTATGTGGTGGGATAGATGGGTAGATGGATAGCTAGGTCGATGGGTCAATAGATAGATGGATGGGGGGGATAGAGTGGATAGGCTTGCGGGGGATAGATGATGGATGTGAGGACCCAGATCAGGCCCCCACCCTTGTTCTCCCCCACCTAGAGTCCTACTGGAGTCTAGCCAGGTCCGGGGGCTCTCTGCAGCTGGCCATGTTCTCCTCCACTCCCCAGGTCTTGCTGGAGGGGGTCCGGCGTGGGGTCCAGCAGCTCCCCAAACAGCCCAAGCAAGGAAAAGTGGTTCAGCTCTGCTGCCCTGCCCTTCAGCGCCCCCCCCTCCAAGAATCTGGTCCCTGTCCCCAGAAGAATATTGTAACTGTGCCAGTCATGACCCATGGCTTGGCCTCCAGACTGGGGTCTTGAGACATCCCACTCCCCAGGCTTCCAGAGCTGACAGAGTGACCTGCACTAGGGTGGTGTGGGAGGGCTGGGGTAGCTCCAGGTTGAGCTGCGCTGCCTCTGCTCACCTGGGCCAAAACCCAGAGATAGCTTGGCCTCTCATGCTCCTGTCACCGGGCCCTGGCTCTAGAGGTCTGGAGCACAGCAAACAGTTCAGGAGGCCCCGACCATCACCAATGGACATGGGCTTGCAGAGAGAGTGGCCATGAGCTGTTGGGCCACGACCAGCCATTCTTTTGAGAGTGTGGGAAGGGAAGGAGACCATAGGCTAAACATTTGGGGCAGAGGCTGAGCTAATGCAGGGCAGAAGCCAGGGCTTGGATGCAGAAGGAGAGATAAAAATGGCACTGGGCCTCTCTCCGTCCCCTTGCAACACTCTTTGGAAAGAAGATCACGGTTCCTTCCAGGCACCCCTGGGGCAGCTTGTTTGGGATCTCATAGTCATTGGGGTTGGAAAGGACCTTACAGGTCACCAGATCCTGTGTACAGATTATCTCACCTGTATATGGATACAGAGGGTCGTCATCCCTAATTCGATGTCTTGTTGGCAGCCAGTATCAAGTGGAGTGCCCCAGGGGTCGGTCCAGTGACCCGTTTTTTTTGTTTTTTTTAATATGAATGGTCTGGAAGATGGGAGGGATTGCACCCTCATCAAGCTGGCAGATGACACCACACTGGGGGGAATAGATACTCATATACAGAGGCCCCGTCCTCACCCCATACACACATATATTACCAAAAAAGTTACAATTTTGAATCACACTGTCACGGGATGGGGTCCTCAAGGATGGCCATGATCTCCCAAGGCCCCTTGACTGTGCCAATTTGGCCCAATGGGCACCCTCAGCTCTCTTCTGCCACGTCTTGATGTACTTATGAAAATAGGGAGGCTGCCTTTCAGTCCTCTTGGACATGGTTTGATGGACTCTCTGATCCCCGTGGGTTCCTGGACCCCTTGTGGGTCCCGTTTCAAAATAGAGGTCACAGGACACCCCAGCCTTATGGGCTATACGCGTGGCTCCAACCACCCCTTTACCACGCCCCAAGCCTCGCAGATGGTATTGACGTTGTCTGGTCTGGACCCTGCTGTAAATTGGCCCCTTTGTCCTCTCTGGGCTCTCTGCAGCCCTGTCTCTGCGCCTCACCGGTGCCTGGGCTCTCCGCAGCCCTAGTGCTGCCCCACTCTGGCGCCGGGGTCTGTGCACCCCAAGTGCCACGCCCTCTCTGGCACCGGGGTTCCCACGCTAGAGCAGGGCCCCAGTGAGGCCTCCTCCTTCCCCAGTAGCCTCTCCCAAACCACCGGTGGCTATGAAACAACAAACAATACATAAGCCCCTGGGCTATAACATAATACATAAATTCCCATGGTGCTCCACCCCTTTAAAAGAATCCAACTTTGCCCCTGGCATTCTCAGAAGCTAGACTCACCCTCAGGCCTCTT